CGTCAATATGCGACCTCCCAGATCAAATGGATACGGAACAAGCTTTGGAAGGCGCTCGCTGACGCTAGTGCGACAGATAATTTCTATCTTCTTGACAGTACAGTCGTTGAAGACTGGGAGAAGTGTGTTACTGAACCATCTGAGCTCCTGACTCAGGCGCTGATCAACGACGAACCCAGACCGGATCCTAAATCTATCTCTGACTTGGCAAGAGAAACATTGGGCGCACGGGAGGCTCAGTCGCAGACGCAGCGCAGCAATCTGATTCAGACTTTTACCTGTGAGGTCTGCAGTAGAACGATGGCCACTGAAGACCAGTGGAATATTCACCTGAATGGGCGTGCCCACAAGAGGGCAATCAAGAATGCAGCAAAAAAAGCAGAGCGCGAGGAATATTTGCGCAATCAGCAGACCTTAGGTGTTGGTCAGGATCGTGTCTGTCCGACTCCTACTGAGCAGCCTTCAACGCCGCAGTAGAAAGTAGACATGTTTGGGGCTCACGAAAACAAGCACATTGGCTGCTTTCCTCTGGCAGGAACAGCAACCCTCTTTCAATTTTCATTTCCACTATCCGTACTCTGAGAACTTATACATAATGGTCCGATTCGTACCGTGGCTGGAAACCAACCTTGCCCAACGTTTCAAGTTTCCTGTATCATGGCAGCTAAACATGGCGAGGACGAGGATGGCGTAAACTAGGCCACTCCCTCACCTTGCCAATACACTGGCATAGGTGAAATAGCGCCTCTCAGCTTGGTAGAAGATGGCGATGATTTTCACCTTCTCGCGTTGATCCCCGAGCATGCTGCAGTCGTGTTATACGATATGTCCGGCCTGGCAACATTCATCCATGAAATGCAACAGCGCGACAGGACTTCATGATTAGGATACATGCTTCGAAAGCCAGTACTGTGGTCAGGCTGCTCACGTTGAGTGCTTACCACGGGTATCAGGCAGCTCAAATATATTACTTCCATCATAGCCTGACCCCCAGCCGGGGAGCCCTGGCCAGACCGGCAGAGAGACTCGTGTATCTGCCGCGATTTGTTGCATTTCGAAACATTTGAAGTGCAGGGTTCCCCTAGTCAAACCGTTTGTAGGCGCCGACTCCACCTCATCATGAAGATGATCTCCAATCCAGAAACGACGTGGAAATGATGTCGCCTGTCCCAGTTTCCTCGATCTTGAACACCTCAATAAGCGAAGACTTCTCCAGCTTACGGATTCGCCACGTTCCTCCCTCCTTGACTGTGGATTTGAGCCCTTTGGACCCCTTAGCTGAAGGGACATAGAACGGGAATTTCAGAGAATATGCCGAGACTTACATTCGAGGAATGCAGCAGCGAAGTTGATGCAAATGTTGCCATCCCACGTTCCTCGTCCAACCTTCTTTACCTTGTTTGGTATACTGGCCGTTTCAAGCTCTTCCAAACGATGAACTATACCGTGATGGTCGCGAAAACCAACAATGATCTTGGGAACGCCAAGGAGGAACGACTGTGCCCAGAACTTTAGGAGCTTTCGCTCATACTTCATCATGTCACGGTCGTTCCTGATCTCTGCCGAAGTCTTCAGCTCTACCCAATTGATGGGATCTTCCTTGTGGTCGGGTTTGCAGTCCCACACTAGCACACCAGCATCAGCACAGGCTTCAATCCGACCCCTCAACAATCGCCATAAGCATGCATCTAGTGTGAGAAAAGCATACCAGCATCAACTTCGCCACCAATGATCAAACGGGAGTTCCCTATGCCTGTTCGAACAACAGAGCAGTATTGTGCTTTGTTGTTGACCACGAGGTCCTCGCGACTTTCGATCTCAGCCCGAGGCGTTGGATCCCATGGCTGCTGAAGCAAACATAAGGTTTCAAATTTGTAGCCTGAGCTTGCAATTTCAGCTTCTTGTCAAATCGGATCATGGAGCGCTAACAGTACCCCAGTATGCCATCAGCTGCTGGGAGGCCATCCCCGGAGGCATTCTTTGATTCTGCTGGATTTGTTTCTGCTGGTTTTTATAGACGTTGTTCTCCTCAATGAAACTGCTCCTCATCAGCATCGCAGGATTAGCGAAGACTTAGAAGGATATACAAACATGGTACCCTGCATCTTTACGGTTAGTATGTAAACCACGTATCAACGAGCTTGGACACCTCCTACCTGGAAACAAGTCGCATTCATTTCGAAACTAAGACTCAGATCAATAAGATGAAAGCATTGCATATAACCTGTCTACATACCCGTTGAGATTGTCAAACGGAGCAATCAGAATCTACAAGAAGGCGATTGTATCAGTAATATCCACTTTCCAGGCGAATGAGAGACTTGAGCGACTTACCTTCGTCATCATGCCTCTCCATGTGATGATGTCCGCTTCGCATCTCTTTCCAGTCTCCTTTTCCAGAGCTATAATGGTCTCTAGCAAAGCGTCTAGATGCTCATCGGCGGTATCATCTAGCTTCTGGAAAGTGTCGAAGCCACGGTTCAAATCCGCGGGGAGGCGCGGCGTATAGTAGTACCGCAGGGACGAATCCCCGAGGTGAAAATTATGTTCATCATCATATGAGAAGCAAGTGATCTCCTGTCTCCAGGTTATTTTCAAATTGTTGTCTTGTATGGACACGGACAAGGACTTACCCTTGGACGTCGGATTGTGGTATTGGCGCCATAGAAGCGGCCAATTGGCTGGATGTCGAATGCACCTCTATCCATAACTTCTTCGCTCGAGGTGTATCGGCCGTATATTGGGCCTATTGTGGAAGAAATCAAGTGATGCTTGAAGGCAAAGCTATTAGAAGCTCTGGCATCTATATAGGCTTGTTGCGACCAATACGGATTGTCAGGTCGAGCAAGAAGCCAGTGCATATGGTTTTCTAGGTGCACTGACAGATCCGCAAACGAGGAGCAACTACACCTCAATGGATCGATGCACAGTGAACTTGCTGGGTTTTGAATATGTTTCGTCGAAGCAACAAGGGGCCTGTATCCGGAGCAGCTCCGCAGTTCTGGAAGACACCAGGGAAGTTCCCCACCAAAAGTTCTCGACACTCGTTCATCCGCTCACAGCTGTCGCTGATCTTGTCATCCACCTGTGCTGGACTCCCTCTACATATTTACTTGTTCACAATAAATTGGAAATCTTAGTTTCGCTGAAAATCTATTTACATCCTCAACGCAACTCCTGTGACTTTGCGGTTCCCAGTGTCAGTCCACGGTCACTTGTGGACACATCCAAGATGACCTCACGCATCGACAAGACGATTGCTCGGCAACGCGAGAAGTAAGTTTGCCTCAAGCTTTGACATACGACGATTACTTCTCAAGTTTCAAGGTCTCAAGAAAGAAATAATTAATATGAACTTTTGGTTTTTATCTGCAGGATCGCCTCCGGTGCTTACTACGAAGCTCACCAACAACTCCGTGTCATCGCTGCGCGATACATAAAACAATCCAATTATGACGCCGCTGCTGAAATATTGGCTGGCGGTGCGACCGCTCTTCTGAGAGCTGGATCTCAGCAGGGTGCTTCTGCGAGTGGGGGAGACCTGGCTATAATGTTGATAGTCGAGGTGTACACCAAGGCGGGGTGGGAGATTACTGGAGCGAATGATGATGCGGAGAATCGAGCTCGAAAGAGTGAGTTTGATTCCAGCTCTTGTCTACTGAACATCACACACTATCTTTTTATGAACGGAAGGCTTTCTGAGGGAATCTACATGGAATCAGCGGCTAGCCGGTGGGCTAAAGATATTGGACTTTCTGAGATCTAATCGGCTAACGATGCTTCTCCATGATAGAGCGCTTAATCGAGCTTCTGCGCGAATTTCCGTCGGAAGAGCCCACGAGGAAGAGATTCATTCAGGAGATGATCGGCTGGAGCGGACGGTTCGGCCCCGTGGAGAGAGGAGATGCGGAGCTGCACCATGCAGCTGGATCGGTATACGCTGAAGGTTCGTTGGCCATGCGTGACCCTGAACTTACAACAACGCACTGACGATTCTGCCAGACAATGAGCCATATGACGCCGAGAAGCATCTCATCCTTGGGACCTCCGAATCTGCCGAGACTCTAGCGAAGCTCGAGTACGAGTGGTACACGAACGACGAGCCCCATACGGCGGCTATTTACGCATCGCGTGCAGTCTTTCCTTACTTGTTGGTTGGGAACCTCCGGAACGCCAACAAAGCCTTCCTCATCTTTACCTCACGGCTCTCTTCCTCAAATGTGTCCCTCGGCGTACAAGAAGTCAGCAGCGCCAGCTCCGATGTGCGAGTTTTCCCGTCTCTGCCTTTGCTGAACTTCATAAGCATGCTGCTTCTCGCTATTCAGCGAGGCAGCGCAGACCTTTTCAAGCAGTTGACTGCCCATTATGCATCACAGATCCAAGAAGTAGGGATCTGGGACGATGCTTTGTCACAGATAGGGGAGCAATACTTCGCGATCAAAGTTCCGAGACAAGGTAACCCACTTCTGGATATGATGGGCAGTATGCTGTTCGGAGGTCAAAACCAGAGCGGAAGTAGGAGGACACCCCAGGGGCGAAGTCATTCGAAGACCGTTGAGGCGCCGCCGGCCAGCATGGAGCTCGATTAGACGAACAAGGCCACGCTTTGTGCGTGATATGTGTATCTTGAACATACTATCCAAGTAGATACCAGATAGATAATCAAATGTTCATTATCCAGTGGTACTTGACTTGCCCCGGATGCTGCAAGCTGGCGTTAAGCACGTGAATCTACTTCTGGCTCGTACATCCAGTTGTCTTCTTCGAGCCCCGCTACCCTACTCCGGAGACTTTGATGGATGAGATTGAGGATCTCTGTCGATAATGAGTGCATTGATTAGAAACAGTATGATAGCAGAGAATCGCATAGGACCACGATGGACCCACTGTTCGCGTGCACTTACCGGCTGGTTCGTTGCTCATTTGTCTGTTTCGGTTCCGATACATCAATTCTGCTATGCTTGCCTCGATCTCTTCGACAGGCCAGTCGTGTCAGCTTCTTATTTCAGACCACCAATCGTTCTCAAGGCTGCGAACATACTTTCTTTCTCTCGCCCGCTGATCTCAGTTTGGCTAGCCAAATCGACAGCTGTAGCTCCTGTTGCTCCGCTAGTTCCACCCTCGTCCAAACCATCCATTCCGTCGCCATTTTCACTGGCAATGACATCCGGAAGAACAGGAATGTCAAGCTTGTAACCACCGTTCTTGTCTCTGACCACAATATCTCCGTTGTCCACGGGACCAGAACTCAAAGAGTGGTCCGTTGACTCGGAAGAGGACTGTAGCATGTGAGAGGAAAGACCCGAAACCCCATTGCTCCTGCCGCTTTGCATGGACCCAGGCGCAGCAGAGACCGGGCGTCTGCTGAGGTTATGGTGGAAGAGATTGCGTCTGATGGAGGTTGTGCCCATCCTGCCAGGCGATCCGCAGGAACAGGTCCTAGTAGATATAGAAAGCTCCTAGCAGGACTGATGGGCTGCGCACAAGCTAGGGAGAAACCGTGATGCTTGATGACTATTTTTTGTGCTAAGGATAGATGCTTGTAATGTAACGTGATTGAGCCAGATGCGGCTCTGAAATGAGTGTCAAGACAATTCAAGCTAGTCGAAGCTGTAAACAAGAGAATGAGCTGAAAGGAATAAGATGAAGTGCTGAGGCATAACAATAATAATAGGCGGCCAATGCTTGTGGCAGTGGAGATGAAAGGGCGGAATTGACCCGGAGTCCCAATTAAGCCAAATTAGGTCCATCCTGACGCGTCTCCAACCTTCGCGTCTTCCGAAAGCCAGATCACTGAACAGATAATCTGCGTGTTGTTCCACATCACAAGGAACCACTGGAACTCCTAATACAGCTCAGTATTCCTGCATTAAGCTCTTCACAATGGTGCAAGCGGAATCCTCAGCAAGTGCTTCTCGAAATAGCCTCAAGGCTGTTACTGCGGGAGCTCCCCCAGATTATGAACTACCCTGGTTTGTAAACAAGACCACGATGTTATACTTGACAATTTCTAATGGACGACTTTTTAGGGTGGAGAAGTATCGTCCTATCTTCCTTGATGACATCGTCGGCAATACAGAAACAATTGAGCGATTGAAGATTATAGCCAAAGATGGCAACATGCCCCATGTTATCATCTCGGGAATGCCTGGTATCGGAAAGACTACCTCAATTCTGTGCTTGGCGAGGCAACTACTAGGAGAGGCTTATAAGGAGGCGGTCTTGGAACTGAATGCTAGTGACGAACGAGGTATGTTGCTTTGAGTCAGCCCATTCAGATCCAGACTGACGATCTGCTCAGGTATCGACGTTGTCAGGAGTCGAATCAAAGGTTTCGCGCAGAAGAAGGTGACGCTCCCACCGGGCCGTCACAAGATTGTAATTCTTGATGAAGCGGATAGGTGCGATCTCTGGGAATTAACAATATGTACGAATAGTCGCTGACCGTTTACAGCATGACCCCTGGCGCGCAGCAGGCATTACGACGGACGATGGAAATCTATTCTTCTACAACACGGTTTGCTTTTGCTTGCAACCAGTCAAATAAGATCATTGAGCCCATTCAGTCTCGATGCGCTATCCTGCGCTACGCTCGATTGACAGACGCACAGGTGGTGAAACGATTGAAACAGATATGCGATGCTGAGAAGGTGGAACACACAGAAGATGGAATCGCTGCCTTAGTTTTCAGTGCGGAGGGAGATATGCGTCAGGCTATCAATAACCTGCAGAGCACATGGTCAGGTTTTGGTCTGGTCAGTGGAGATAATGTCTTTCGTGTGGTCGACAGCCCACATCCGATCAAGGTACAAGCTATGATCAAGGCATGCTGGGAAGGAAAGCTCGACGCTGCGCTAGAAACGCTGAACGAGTTATGGTATGCGCATGATTGCTTGCGATCCTTGCTTCTCTACCGATATACTAATAACTATACTTAGGGAACTGGGTTACTCATCTCATGATATCATCAGCACCATGTTCCGAGTCACAAAGACAATTCCGACTTTGTCAGAGCATTCAAAGCTGGAATTCATCAGGGAGATCGGTTTCACACATATGCGCATTCTCGACGGCGTGCAATCGCTCCTTCAACTGAGTGGCTGCGTATCCAAGCTTTGCAAAATCAACATGAAGCCCCAACTGTTTGAGCCTCCGAAGGCCTAGATATCCGCGAAAAGCATTTTCATAGGGCATGTACATGGTGTTACGGCGTTCCGATGACTGAGTGAAGTCTGAAATTGTTTCCTTAATGAAACGAGCTGAACAGGTGCATTCGGAATTATGTATCCACAAGAATTGACATATGGTATTTTCTTTTCGACAATTTGAATCCAATTTGATCTTCATATGTGTTCAATTAAGCACAGCGTGCTGAATACACTAGCAGTCCTCAACCCAGACTGATGGCTTACGAGTACGCCAGCTTATTGCGGATCGCTTCGAAGACTACGAGGCATGATGTAGCTCGGCCGGATACCAGCTCTACCCCAGAACCGGTGTAACCGGCATTTTGGCACCCTCAGGCGGCCTGTGGTTTCTCTTAAACTCATCGCACATTTGCTCAAACGTCACCCATTCCACACCCTCGTGTTTGTTGATATGCTCTATGATCCTATACTCTAGTTGGTCTGAGAACTCTCGCAGAGTCTTACGCAAGCAACAGACTTACCTCTCATGCATGAGAAGGACATGGGGCCTTCCTGAAACATCGGGGTGGATCGTCATCGGAAAGACAAAGCTGTCATACTCGCGGTAGAAATAGTCAAAATGGTCCTGGAACAGGTATCAGTTCAGCCCGCGTGAACAGCGACAACCTAGCCTGGCCTCGCTCACGGGTAAACGGACCTTCCAAATATCCTCGATGTCCCTCGGGTTCACCCATCCATGACTGTTAGGCGCACTCTTGATGAACATCATCGGCGGCAAGTCGTCGATGTACCAATTTCCCGGAATTTCGACCAGTCCGGTATCCTGGCCCCGGACCAGCGGCTTCATCCAGGTCTCCGCCTTCTGGCTATAGTCGATCTTGGTCCAAGTGTCCCCTGTCCGAAGCCAGTACATCTGGCAGTCATGATGGGACATGGAGTGGTCGTATTCAATCCCGTACGCAAGCAGGAGATCTGCCATCTCCTTGCTCGTCTCCCACCATGGCGCCACGATACCCCGGGGCGGTTTGCCGCAGAAGTCTGTCAGCATGCGGTACGTCTTGTCCAAAACGTCCTTTTGCTGCTCGGGTGTCATGTCACTGGGATTCTCATGGCTGTATCCGTGTAACCCGATCTCGTGTCCTGCGTCTCTCACTTGGGCGCATTCTTCAGGGAAGGTTTCCAAGGAGTGACCGGGGATGAACCATGTGGCTTTGATGTTATATTTCTCGAAGAGTTTCAAGAGACGTGGGGTTCCCACATGACCAGCCCAGAGACCTGCGAGGAGACTTGGTGAGAATCTATCTGTCTTGTTTGGGTGTACTCGCTGTATCTCACCTCGACTGATATCGTTCGAGCTGTCCTCACCACCGTAGGACCCCAACCAACCCGCAACAGCATCAATATCCACACCGTAGGCGACCAAGACACGCTTTTTGCCCATATTGCTGATTTTGACCACTGGATTTTGAAGAAAGAGTGTATGATGGAGACGGATTGACGAAGTTTGCTCGGGGTTATATATGGGGGAACCTGCTCCACCTGGTCCGCTATCAAGTCAGCCAAATTGGAGAAACATTTTGAACTAGATAAGACAAGATAAGGAAATCAATTTGTATCTCTGTATCTTCTGTATTTATCAGTCCACTGACCCTGGAATTACGATGTAACGTCCCTGATAGGAATTCGCTTGAAGGATTGATGAGACCTCTACCTTCGAGTGTGCAGAAGTATCATTGAGTACCATTACCTATATAGCCCTTGAAATGAGAAATCTTGGGCTGGTCATTTCATTTCCCCTCTTGATTCGGATATGCAGGCGCAGAGAGCCAAGGGTGGGGGTTGGCCTGGCTGTCAAAGGACACTCGGCAAGCGGTCCATGAGGGGAATAGTTGGAGAAGGGACCAGCACAACTCCAAAGTCCGAAAGTTATAGGAGCGAAAGCATCAGGTCCTGAGCAAGCTAAAGGATCCTGGAGGTCTTCTGAGTCTTTCCTCAACGGGGTCGATAGAGGCCATGCTCTACAGTTCAGATGCGTTTGTAAAAGTATTAAGGGGATGATGCTCACAAGATGTCCACATGACAGATTTCTCTATCCAGCACGATTGAGTTAGAAAGGAAAATCAAGTCCTACGGATATAAGCTAGATAAGTTTTACGTTAGTTGGCTGTCCTCCAGATCTTCTCAATAACCGTTGCCGCTCCCAATACCTTCTCTTCTTCGAGTTTCTTTCCAATGATCTGAAGATTTATCGGGTAGCCGTCCATTGTCATCGGGTCATAGAGGCCCCAATTCCACTCGTCTAGCTCGTTTCTGGGGTGATAGAGTTCGCTTGGCAATCCATCTTTGTCTGCACTCACTTGATCGATAGGAATGGTGACTGCAGGGTAGTCGAGCAGATTCCAGATCTTAGTGTACCTACCCAACGCACACTGCGATGGGGGACGGCCGAATGTGGAGTCGTTGGAGCAAGGAGAATATCAACTGGCTTCCCTGACGGGGACCGAACGGCATTCCACTTATCAAGATAACTCTTCTGAAGTGCAATCTTCTGCTTGTTGAGTTGCCAGTATTCATAGACGGAGATTGCCTTCCCACGGTTGATCAGAGCTTCAACGTGAGGGATACAAGGCTCCCCGGCGACCTCTACGTCGCGCCGAATATCCTCGCATCCGTCAGCGGTATAGTATTGATCCATGAGTTTGATATAGGCGAAATGATCCGATGCGTCCCAGACCACGACCTCATGGCCCTGAGCTTCCAATTTAGCGGATAGCTCTCGGAGTGCTCTCTCGATAGGGGGATGTACTTTCACAACCCCATCGTCCAGAATCAAACCGACGACGAGAGGCCTGGATAGTGCATCTTGAAAGCTATCCTCATTCCAGGGGAGAGGAGCGCATTTCGGGTCTAAGGTCCATGGTTTAGCGTTTGCAAATATGCGACAGACATAAGAGAGGGACGAAAGGTCTCTTGTCATAGGACCTATAGACGAGGGAACATGTTCTTGACCCTCGGTCGAGACCGGGACGCCGTAGTAGGGAAATCGGCTGCTCTATCATAGAATTAGTCATAGAACTATTCACCGGTGCCTGGGCTCGTAGAACATACACTTGGTTTGAAGCCATACAGACCGTTGAGACTCTGCGGGATCCTGATACTTCCTCCAATATCTGTTCCAAACCCCAAAACTGAGCCATGCAGGGCCAGCAAAGCACCTTCACCCCCTGTCGAGCCACCAGGAGTGAAAAGAGGATTCCGTGGGTTGACCGTTAGACCCCAGAGCGGGTTCTCAGTTTCGGCCCACTGAAGAAAACGTTAGTTCACCCATACCTTTGGCTATGGTCTGCAACGAGATACGGACCATAATGCTCTGCGGTAAGTTTGTCTTTCCAATGATAACAGCACCCATGCTTTTCAACATCTCAACGAGCACTGCGTCGTCGGTAGCAGGAGCAAACGAACGACCTACGTAGCCTAGAGTCGTATCGACTCCTTTGATTTTGAATTGATCCTTGAGAGTGACTGGGATGCCGTGAAGCGGGCCCGCGAGTTGGCCTTTTTCTCTGAACAGCCGGTCCAGCCGTCTAGCCTGTTCTAGTGCATCTTCGAAAACAACTTCTGTCAGGCAGTTGGTCTAATGATGTTGACGTGAGCTCAACATCACGAGACTCTTTGAGCACAATGTGAGACTCACAAGTTGATGCGCAATCGTGGCTCTGATGGATTAGAGTCATCAGTTCATCCTCCTAGGCTGCAGGGGCTTGCATTGAATTTTACCTTTTGATATAAGCAAGGCTGACCTGTTCCGCAGTATATTTGCCCCCTTTCAAACATTCGAGGAGGATAGGAACACTGTCAATGTCGGTAATCTCCTGGATGGTAGAATCGTAATGTATGCAGGTACGGTGATGCACATTGTGAATTTGAGGTGGGCGCTGACCAATATCGCTGGTCATATATGGCTTTAGAGCCTGATCTCGCAAGGAGCGTTTCTGAGCGACCGTTTGCTCCCAGGTCTGGACGCTGCCCATTCTGTGTTGGATCTACCAAAAACCAACTTGCTTTCTTACACAGAATCGAAATGCTAGGCTAGAAGCATTGATAGCGGAGTCCGAGTTTTTAAGACGGCTTGTTCGATTCGAGCCCCATACTTAGATAGCTAAAACGGCGTATCTGTGACATGTCATGTCGGTTATCAGTCCGCTATCAGCCTAAAAATCAAGTATCATTTGCTTAGACCAAGTCTATCTAAATTGTGATTGGAAATGATACTCACAGCCTCGTGGACCCCGATCACTCTAGGTTAGAAGTGGGGGATTAGGTAGAGGGGGTTTGATTGCCGAGCCGTTGGAGAGTTGGAGACGTTGGAGTATCTCGATGAAGAGGAATCCATCCAGGTATTTTGATCAGACAAACTTAATCATCATTCTTGATTGACTTGGATTCAATCTCCAAGCTCGAGAGGAGCCAGTTTCACTCCGTACTATCATCCAATCCGTCGTTCTGGGGTTGAGACACAAGCCGTCAAACAAGAGTGGAGATTAGTCTAGAGATAATGCAAGCAACGTAGTCACTGGAGATGTAAGAGTAACATGATAGCCAAAATAGCAATCCAAACTGCTTAAACCGTTTTCGATACAGATGGAGTGACTTTGAAGCATGATGATGATGATGATGATGATGATGATGATGTCGCTAGAGGGGGGCTGGAATAGTGCCTCAACACCTCAGGAATCCACAATCAACAAACACCTTAGGTTTCAGGTATCCAGGTATCTAACCTCAAGAACAATAAGGTTGACAATAATTATGATAGAGAAGACAAGAAGAGACTCGAGTCTTAGTAGTCTAAATCTACCTCGTTCTTGGACGATCCACAGAACATCAACGGTCGACTCCCTTTTCTCCCTCTAAAAGTCTTGATCACAGACTCGATCGGATGGCAGACGGGCAGAGAGAAAGGTCACCAAGGTGTGTACCTAACTAACGACGGTGCCAGTGCCCACTGCCCCCGGACTACTCCGTACCCGCTCTTCATCATCGCAAATTCAAATAACTCATCTCTGCTTTGATCATTATTCCCTTGACCCCCAGTATAATTCCTCATAATTATCCTGTCTTGCCTTCCATTCAGTTGTATCTATCTACTCCTCATTCTCTCCACCACAAATATGCCACCATGAACCCGAGTTCTACTAATGCCGTGAAGAAAACGCCGGTCCGGAGAGCATGCGATAATTGCCGACTGCGGAAGATAAAAGCAAGTTGACTCCTCTCATTCCCTCTAGTCTTGTTCCTGATGATCCTTTATCCATACGGAGTAACTACTCCGTACTTTCGCACATTGCTGCCGAGAGAAGGCAGTTATGCTAATCTGCTTAGGACCATACAGTGTAGTCTATCGCAACCATGTCGCGCGTGTTGCCAGATGGGATTTGAATGCCTCTTCTTACAGCCCCAGAAAAAGCGGGGGCCAACTGGCAAGTGAGTGTTGACCAACTGCGTGGTTATGCTCGGATGTTTTATGGGATCCGTCATCTCTGATCGTATGCACATTTTTTGATGCTCGCCAAACAGTCGTGTGTCCCAAATTCGTCAGCAGCAACAGACTCAGCTGCTACGTAAGAGTTCCCAAGCTCAACCGTCTCAACCGTCTCTTCCAAATGCTTTTCCGCATCAGAGGCCGATTCCCTCTCGGGAGACGGGGCAGCATGGGAATGCACCATCGGTACAAGATACCACCCATTGGCCTATCCATCAGCGTGGTGAGGCCTCAGTGCCGACGGACGTAGTACCGCCGCGTACAAACGCCTCGATTGGGCCATCGTGGGCTGCTACAGATACCTCGTCGGTAGATTCTCAGACCAACTCTGCGATCAGTTGGAATGAGCGAAACGATGTTGAGTATTGGCTCCCAGACAATTTGGATGCCCAAGTGCCTGTATTTGAGTTTCCAGGAAGCAATATTTACCTAAAGACGTCGCTACCGTCGATCATCCAAGCGGAGCAGGATGCTCCTGGCTTGCAGCCTCATCATGTGGATGCTTCAAACTTGGCTCTTTCAAGCATGGGGGTCATGCAAACAGGGCCCGATCCGATGAGAACGATATGGCCGTCATCGATCGTCGAGGCCAACATGATCCCGTGGATTGAGGTCTATTTCGACCGCCTGCATCCGACTTTACCTGTACTGAACAGATCCTCCTTGTTCATTCGCATGCTCGCCCAAGAGCATCGTAGAAACCCACAATTTGGTGCCATGCTACTGTCCTTATGCGCGTTCTCTCTGACGCAACCCATCGAGATTGACGAACGGCCCACTTCCTCGTCCCGAGCCAGCCAGGCCAGATCGATGATGAACGAGGCAACTAAAATGCGGAGCTGTTCTGACTTTGGGGAACATCCAACCATCGAGGCTGTTCTCACCAGCTTTTTCCTTTTTGGATGTCTTTTCGGCAGCAACCAGCACAATGCTGCGTGGCTCCGACTCCGAGAGGCTCTAGACCTTGCAGCGACGCTGGGCTTGAACAACCCTGACTCATATCGGGATTTACCGAACGACGAAAAAGGCCAACGATTACGGACCTACCTGGTCTTGTCTATCACAGAGAGGTATGAGCTTCATCGAGCTAGATGTGCCAAGACGATATATGCTAACAAAATCTCGAAAGAGCCTATGCATTGCAACGGCGACATTTCATCACCTTTTGGGGGAAACCAGGGTTCAGCATGCGTTCTGTCCATGATTTTATCCACAGTGCAACACACAGCGTCGTTTCCGGTATCATAGTTCACAACGAAAAAGATGCCGAAGGAATGCTGGGTCTGGCTCGTTTAATGGAGTTGTTCGATGCCATTGACGAGGAGGTTGTTGATTGTTGGAATCAGCGCTGCAACGTCGGTTCAGGCTATTGCGTGAATCTCACCGAGGAGAAAGCCTTGTCCATCCATCAAAATCTCAGCAGAGTCTGCGAATCCGAGCGATACAAGGGCTATGACTGGTTTGAACGCACCAGGTCGGCCCCGAATCAGGCCCAGAGCGTCCAACCGACAATCAGTATGCGGGAGACACAGTGTGCCGATGTATTTATCACGAAGAAATGGCTCCAAAATCGGGTGTGGGTGCTGTGCTCCACTCATGGTCTCCTGAGACCCGTGTCAGACCGCCAGGAGCTGTCTTTCGAATACGCCGTCACGGTTGCTATGGACACCTTGAAGATATGTCAGTCATTACGTCTTAGCTCGATGGAAGCCCATGGAATTGGCCTAGTGAGTACAGTCCATCCGGAAAACCAGTTTGATTTTCGCTTTACTCACGCGCGCACATAGGTTGAGAAGCTGTACGACATTGCGGTTAGTGCAATTGGAGTCTCTTCCAATGTCCGACAGCCTCTTGGCGAACATTCTACGGCCTCGGCGGCTAGCTCCATGGCAGGACCAGGAGTCCTGCCTTCTGGAAGCCTTGCCGGAGTGATGTCTCCAAACACAGCAACCGTGCCATCCACTCAGTCGTTAGCAGAGGATTTTATGTTGCTTATGAATACGCTCCGCGGTGGCAATCACCCCTTTTTGGAAAAATTCAAGGCTTACCTGAGTTCTCTGCACATTGTTGAGATTGGATGTAGCAACTGGGCGGAGCCGTGACTTTGTATATAATAGCTCAGCCGACCCCAGCCCTGGAACCGGCTTCAGTTCGCGGCGGATATCTGAGCTTGCACATCTTGGATTCTGTACCTTCTTGCAGCTACAGACCCGACTCTTACGGGGGATTTATCATGTATTCTACACACTCATATTCATAGCAGAGTCGTCCGAGGGATTTACGGGATCTTGAGAACAGACAACATACCCATGCCATGCCTGCGCTGGATGATCAATATAACCTGAGCAACATCTTCGCTTGTAGATCCCCTTGTGGATTTGTCCTCCAAGTGCCTTCGGAATGGGTTGATAGGACTCCGGCTCCATGCGGGAACTCTCGTATGGAGCATGCATGGGGATCCCTACTGAGTTATCCTTTCTTCTCAGGAATGAGAAGATGCACAAAGAAAATGACAAAGCAAATCGTGCGTATAAGCCTGCCACCGCGGCAGCGCTACAGCTTACCGGTTTCCCAGATATTCCTGAGTTAGTCATATTGTCTCACTGAAGGCTTGATATAGATAGCTTAACACGGCCGAGCTCTCAGAAGGCTGGAATTGACTTGCGTTGGCAGCTCCGCTGAGTAGGTGAAGAACGAGGATACAGGGTTTCTCCGACAACTCTCCGCATCCTTCCGAGATAATCCCGTGATTCATTGACATTCTGACAGTCAAAGATCACTTACCATCATCACAACTTCATGTTCATTGTTAAACTGACGACGACGTATTGATTAAGATGAGAGTTCTACTGCGTTGCTTCGTAGCAGGATTGACTTCCCTGTAATGCAATGACGACTACTCTAAGGACAGCATCAGCGAACCCATGCCGGATGCCTAGCGTCTACATCCTGTCTCAAATTCAAACTCTGTCTAGAACTGTGGCCCTCGCGTGATCTATCTGAAGCCAGTTTTGTTCTGGATCTGCAGAGACCACGCTCTATAAATCCCGCCGATATGCATATCCTCCCAGGATCCCAGCACGCGGAGGCGTTGGGCGACAGTGGAACTCAAATACGCCCCGTCCATTGCGAACCAGAACAGATAGCCAAGACCAATCGGCAAACGACGGGTATAACGCATGTAAGCACCAAATGGCGACCGTCATACCACCTTGCCGCGCCCCAGGGGTGGATGAATGACCCCTGTGGGCTTGGATATGACCCGGCGACTGGAGTGTACCATCTATCCTTCCAATGGAACCCGCGTGGGAATGACTGGGGAAACATCTCCTGGGGCCATGCCACTTCCAACGATCTGGTGTCCTGGAAAATATCTCCCGAACCTTGTCTGACGCCGTCTGCGGAGTATGATCGATGCGGCGTGTTCACAGGTTGCTTTCGTCCCCACGGTCCGGATGGCAAGCCGGGTGTACTTACGTATATATACACGTCCGTAAATCATCTCCCACTTCATTATACTCTGCCGTATGTCACGGGCAGTGAATCACTCAGTATAGCAGTCTCCCATGATCGTGGCACGACATGGCAGCGATTCGACGGCAATCCGATTATCCCGGGGGCCCCTGCAGGAGTCGATGTGACAGGCTGGAGAGACCCTTATCTGAACTGCTGGCCCTCGTTGCGGGCCCAGCAACAAGATGGGTTGGTCTCCCCTAATCTGTATGGATTCATCTCCGGGGGCATCGCTAAAGAGTCCCCAACAGTCTTTGTATACGTCGTCAATCCCGACAATTTGACGGAGTGGACATACTTCGGGCCTTTGCTTCACGTTGGCTTGAATTTTCGACCCTCTCGATGGTCGGGGGATCTGGGCGTCAACTGGGAAGTTGCCAATTGCTTAACGTTGACCGATGACGGCGTCTCCCGAGATTTCGTGATCTTCGGCGCAGAGGGATGTTTGTCTTCCGAGGATGGATCAAAGAGAGTACCGCGCTCCCTACTCTGGATGTGTGTAAATGTTCGACCTAGGCTGCAGGCACATAGCATTTTCGAGCCTCTCGCAGAATATGCATTCTCTGGGATCTTCGATCACGGGTGCTGCTACGCCGCAAACTCTTTCTGGGATCCTATCACCGAGCAATACGTCGTATACTGCTGGATTACGGAAGAGGATCTACCGGATCGTCTGCGCCATCGACAAGGCTGGAGTGGCGTCATATCTCTGCCGCGAGTAGTAGGGCTGGTGACTCTTGATAATGTCAAGCGAGCCCACCAGTCGAAGTTGGAATCCATTACGTCTATCGAGACAGAATGCAATTCGCAAGGTACACGAGTTCGAACATTGAGTATCCGGCCGGACCCCAGGCTCGACAAGCTTCGAACATCAGCACAAGAGTTGCATTTATCGAATGTACACCTGGGCTCTTTGGCCCATCAGCCCTCTGCGTTCTTGCCCTTGGGTACTGCTAGGTGGGAACTGAACGCGACCTTCGTGGTTGAGAAGCACTGCGCGGCAGTAGGGTTGGAAATCGGCCACAGCCCTGGTGAGCTCTCATGCTTTCTCTTCCCCGAAGCTGCAATAATTGCTGACGCACAAGGAGATTTCCACCAGCGCACGGTCCTATCATGGAAACCATACGACGAGACGTTCACAATCGAAAGGCCTCCACCTCACGATGCCGGCGTCAATCATGCTCCCGAGACCGCCCCGCATACTCTCTTCACCTTCTGCAACAATGAAGGCGAGGAGATGACAGAATCGCTTCAAGTTCACGCATATTTCGATTCAAGTGTGCTAGAGGTGTTCGTGAATAGCAGAACGGTCATCTCCACCCGCATCTATACTCCTCATGCACAGGCCTGCACTGGGTTGAAGTTTTTCGCCTCGGCAACCGAAAGTCAGCTGAAACCATCGACATCCGCTGCTGTGCTGCTGAGGGCAGATGTTTGGGATGGACTGAGCGTGATTCGTGATGAATTAAGTATTAGATAACTCTCTAGACTAACGTTGTATCTCATGACAGTCCCACAGAGGCGGGAGGAAACTCGTAACTATGAAGATAGGGGTCGAAATAAACATGGTACCCACGTTCTGGTCACGGTAATTGCCAATCAATCGCCCCGACCGTTCAGATGCGAGCATAATATTGCTGCAAATCCTAAGACCGTAGTCATACACGCAAGCTATGCGCATGAGCGTCAATCGTCCCCATAGAAGGGAATGTTCATTATACGCCTGGAGGCTGAGGGAAATGGGAAAAATGCTAGATTGGGTCGGAGCATTTCATTATGTTACCGACGTCGACTGGCTTGCCAAAACTTCCACCCGGGAAACGTAATCTTCCCATCACGCTGATAGATGCGAAAGAAGTAGACCGGGACACCAGCGATGATGAAGGCCACCACGATCAACGTCTGCAATGGCTCGGCGATGACCGCGCGACTCAAAAGAAAGAGACTGACGCAGCAAAAGATGATTGGTGTCGAAAGCCAGGTCTTGTAGGGGCGCTCCAGGTATGGTTCCCGGACTCGAAGGACAATCAGGCCTAGCACTGTGAGGAAGTAGAAGGTGTACCCTGCAACACCATAGAACGTGACCAGAGTTTTGAACTCGCCACCAACGATATATATCAAAGTCAAGGCGCTGTTTAATGCCATGGCGTTTATCGGTGTATAGCCAATGCAGGTGTTTTCCCCAAAAATCCGGGACAGCGACTTGCTAGCCCAGGAACGGCGCTGCAATCGATTGCTTCCCATGACGCTGGATCCACCAGTCCAGAGGTTGCCGAACATCGAGGGCAAGTAGCCTTCCTTGCCAGCAGCGTAGACCAGTCGACCACTGGTGAAGACCGTTGCGTTGAGGGCCCCAAAACAGCTTGCAGACACCACGAGGGCGAAAACCAGCGCTCCTACGGAGCCAAACACCTTGTCACCAAATTGAACAGCAATGGTATTGCTCGCCTCTATGGTCGAATGAGGCAGCACAAGGAAATACGAAACGTTCGCAAGCAAGTACGATAGGATCACCAGCGGCATTGCCGTGTGAATCACTCGGGGAAGATCCCGGTTGGGATTTTTAAATTCGCCAGTCACATAGTTTGTCTGCGGGTACCGTCAGTAAACGATATGGGAAGAGAATGTGGGAGGGCAGATGCCTACGTTGTCCCAGCCATCAAAAGCCCAGAGACCGGCGTACAATGCAACGGCCCAGCCGGAGATGTCAGTACTCGTTCCCTTGAACCAACCTTCTTTCCACTCATTACTGGCGCTCCCGGTTGAAGAGAACCCAGTCACAGCAACGACGATACCGATGACCGTAACTCCTATTAATGCAATGAATTTGAAGAACATGAAAACATCCCCTATACGCGCAGCCACTCGGGTCGATATGCAGTTCAGCACGGTCACCAGAAACATGCCCCCGATTGCGACTCCCTTATTGATCCAGGGATTGACCGTCTCGGCATTTGCGCCTACCACTGCTCGCACGACATACTCGCCGAAGATGATCGCGATGATGGCGGCGCTCCCTGGCTTCAGCACCAGAACAGCGCACCATGTGAAGAGAAAACCAACCAGCTCCCCGAAGATCTTAGAGAGATAGACCTGAGCCCCGCCATTCAGAGGGATAGCACCACCCAATTCCGCATAGCTGGCCGCTCCGGTCCATGCCAGCAACCCTGCGACAGCCCACGCGATCAAAGACGCACCGGGAGACCCCGCATTGGCATTGACCTGACTCGGAGACGAAAAGATCCCAGATCCGATGATCAGTCCAACCACCAATGACAAACCATTCAAGTACGTCAATGTCTTATTTCGTTCCAACGAGCCGTCGGCGATCCCGCCTTGTCGGTCAAGCACGGAGGGAGCCCCTAAGGGAGCATACCCCCCTGCTGTTTGCGATAGTGGGAAGAGGGCATTGCCGAAATCGAAGGCAGAGGAGATGGAGTACGATCGGGCCGACCTCGGTCGCCCTGACTCAAGATTGGCGTGTAAATGTGAGGTCGATAGGGGATCCTCGTCCTCGAGGGAGAGCTTGCGTGAGGAGGAAATGCCCGAGGGCGAGGATGAGACTGAGGACCTGCCCGCCGATTCGGGGGAGGAAGAAGCAAGAGAGGCAAGTTCTAGAGAATCACGAGGGGCATGGAGGTTGTCCGATCTGGTCTCCGTTTGAGTAAAGGTAATATGGGACATTTCTTCGAGCCAGTAGCTATAAAGGCATTTATGAATCAACTGTGGTTATTCAAACAGGTCGTCAATAAGAGCGGACAAGGATCTCTCCATCCCAGCGTAAGGTGGAGGGCTGTTGCACAGACGACAATGGCGGGGTCTATCGAACCGACGGCGATATCATATGATATGGTAGTACAGCAAATATCCCAGAGCAGAAAGAGATTCAGAGTTGCTCTAGATAGTGGTGAGAGTGAGAGAGGAAAATGAGGATGATCGTCGACAAGGGGTCCTTCATTGATACCCGATCGAGTTTAGCGCCAGGCCTCAGTGTGTCTCCAGAACAAGCTTGAAGATGATGATCATTATTATTAAAGGACTCCAAAATAACCATTTATCGTACGTGCTCTTTCATTGAGAGTCAACCTCATGAAGTCCCGACTACCAAGGTCAGGGGGACTCTTGTTCAGCCTGCCATCTACTCTCAGCAGGAGAATAACTTCTCGTCGTTATACTGCGCCTTCATCGTCTACATCCTCCGCATCTTCTCCGCCGAAACAGCGTCTATGGCTTCAACTGACCATTGTAACGGCAACCGCGGCAGGAATCGGAGCCTATGCTAGATCGCAACAAGACTCAGAGTCGGCGATCCTGAATCCAGTCACCTTTACCAAATACCGTCTTGTCGCAAGGGAACCGGTATCGTCGAACGGCAGTATCTTCACTCTGAAACCACTCAAACCCGACGGCAATCGCGAAGTCTACGAAGATGCATGGAAGACGGGCATATGGAGCGTTATGTTCAAGCAGCCGCAATTGCAAATTGGACGAGACTATACACCTCTACCGCCATTGTCGCCAAAGGACCAAGATGAGCAGGAAGAAGGGTCCCTCCGGTTCTTCATTCGAAAAGACCCGTTCGGGGAAGTGTCGCGGTATCTGCATTCTCTTGGTGTAGGATCATCTGTTGAAGTGCGCGGACCTCGAATCGAATGCGAAATCCCCTCGGATACTCGGCAGATACTCTTCATCGCGGGCGGTACTGGAATTGCTCCTGCTTTGCAGGCTGGACATACGCTTTTACGCCGGACGGACGCGGACCACAAGCCGAGACTTCACATTCTCTGGGCGAATCGAAGACGGGATGACTGCTCGGGAGGTTGCAACGATACGTCAGCAATAGATGAAGCGCAGCAAAGATCCTGGTTTTCTGGTCTATTCGGGTCATCAAAACCCAGCAGTCCTCCGCCACTAGATCCCACACAGGACCCGGCAGCCACTTCGCTCATGGTCCGCGAGCTTGAGGCTCTCAAAGCTCAATATCCGGGCCAAGTTACGGTTGATTATTTTGTGGACGAAGAGAGTTCGTTCATTGAGAAGAAATCCATCATGAGGTTCACCGATTCCGCCTCCTCCAATGGGCCTCCTGGAGGTAACATGATCCTTGTGTCAGGACCGGAAGGCTTCATCAGCTATATGGCAGGACCAAAGCTGTGGGCGCAGGGGATGGAACTCCAAGGTCCACTCAAAGGAGTCATCAAGGAACTCGACCTGAAAGATTGGGCGGTCTGGAAGCTTTGAGGATCCACCACCCCGTCTATGTACATTTACAACATCTAGCATTCTGAATCTTCCTCTGTAAATAATTATATATAAATTCGGCACTATGTTGAATAAAGCTGGGTAGTTCAGGTTAACTCCGTCCTAATAGGAAAAGACTTTTTACACGTTAAAAAAAAAAAAGGAATCATAGCCCTCGGAGCAACCGTTTAAGCCGCGGTGGCATAGTCTTCGAGGTACTTGGCCAGCTTCTCAACGTTCTCCAAGGGAACTGCATTATAGTTGCTGGCCCGGATACCGCCAACACTGCGGTGTCCCTTCAAGCCCTGGAGCAGGCGCTCCTCAGCTCCAGCCAGGAACTCCTTCTCCTTTTCGGCATCGCCGCCGTAGACGCGGAAACAAATGTTCATACGGCTCCGGACACTCTTGTCCGGAACAACGTGGTAAACCTGGGGGTACTTGTCCAAAACACTGTAGAGGATCTCCGCCTTGCGGTTGGAGATCTGCTCCTGACCGCTGATCTTCTGGACACCGTATGTCTGGACGAGTTCGGCCATGACCTGGCCGGCAATCCACAGGTTGAAGATGGGGAGTGTGTTGTACAGGGAGTTATTCTTCGCGATGGTCGCGTAGTCGAGTACAACGGTTCCCGGTAACCCGCCAAGGTTCAACCGATGAAGAAGAGCCGGTGCCGGTGTAGGGGTCTGGGGAGGCAAGAGCGACTTTTTGATAATGACGATGGAAATACCAGCGATACCAATGTTCTTTTGGGCACCACCCTGCGGTCCGTTAGCTCGGAGACTCGAAAACAGAAAACTCCGCCAAAGGAAGGATACGTACGAAGATCACAGAATACTTGCTGACATCAACTTTCCGGCTGAGGAAGTTGGAGCTCATGTCTGCAACGACAAGTCGGTCGTCCGACTCCAGGATCTTGGGGAAGCTGGGGAACTCCACACCGTCCACCGTCTCATTATCGCAGAAGTAAACAAACGCCGAGTTCTTGCTGGGCGAGAGAGCCCAGGTCTCCTCTGCAGGGATCATGCCAAACTTGCCATTGTTCGCGGTTCTGGCATCCAGCGCAATGTTCACATGCTTGGCACCCACCAGACGAGTAGCCTCCTGCGCTGCCTTCAACGACCAGGAACCCGTGACGATGTAATCCAGCTTCAATTCCTCCTGCACCTCCCTTTGTAATCTCTCAACGACCAGTTCGTCCTTGTTTTCGCTGGCCGAAATCTCCGCCTCTGCTCTCTGTCGTCTGCGCTCTACCCAGACTCCCACAAGATTCTGAACCACCGAGCTGAACTGTCCACTTCCACCACCCTGCATAAAGAGGATCTCGTAGTCATCGGGAATATCCAGGAGCGTTGTCAGGCTCGCCTTGGTATCTTCCAGGATCTTGTTTGCGGTAGGGGAGCGATGCGAGATTTCTCCGAGTCCGAGACCGCAGTCATTGTAGTTGACGAAGGCCTTTGCGCCCGCCTCCACGACAGAGGTGGGCAGGGGAGCAGGACCAGCTCCAAAGTAGGCGACCTCTTGTCTGGAAGGCATGTTGACTGTACGAGCTTCGATTTTTGGATCAATTGAAGCAAATTCAATTAGTTTTGGCCTGAGAAAAGGAAAAAGAATGAATTTGAATGCTACCGGGGTTGACTCGAAAGGTTCCCAGAACCCCGCCGGAGATTGACAGATGACTCCGAGAGCGGAATGTCACTCACTGCCCCTGGAAATTGACTCATCGCCTAAATCACGACATATCTAGATAGAATGTTCTGCCAAGGGTATTTTTTGACATACGTAGTACTTTATGCCCTATTTGTAGTACGTCTTGGCTTGGTTGCACATATCACCACCTTTGAGAGGAAGTGTATAGTGTAGGAGCGCATGTCTTGTATAGCTTCAACTTATCCTCTTATGGTAACAAGTGCAACTTCATCTGAGATGTTACTTTCCATCCCAGCATACTTGCTTAACGTCTATTACTGTTTGACTAGGCTTGCACTTCAGGCAGTAGATATTCATGATGAATGTCCTATTGTATCAGATTCATGCTGATGAAAGCTTATTTACAGAGAGAAAAAGCATGCTGTGTGGCTGTATCAGGTGTATGGCATGATAATCCTATCTTACTGGAAGCACTTTATCAACTGTGGCAGTGTTAGACTGATTAAGAGACTGAGGACGAGGGGAAACTGACAATGATCAACAATGGCCACCCCTCTCGTCGGTTTCAGCCTCGTCCGTGACTGTCAGCCTGCAGCTTCGCGACTCTAACTTAGTGCCGCAGCTTGGCTGTGCACTTCGAAGTCTTTCTTGATTTTTTCTCATCCTTCCCCCTTGTCATTCTATCCTCATTTTGATATTGTTCCTTTCTGTTATTGACAAAATCATGCAATCCCCGTCCCTGGTATCTATTTCAATCTAAGGAGCCGTTTGCTGTCTACATCTTCTTCCACTGATCTTATCCCGACCAATGCTGGACTTATAGCTACACCAGAATACCATCTTCTCCATGGACCCTTTCACCTGGATCGGTGCAATTTCGGGAGTCCTTCAAATCGCTCAAGTCATTTCCCAGACAACTGCGGGTTTAGTCAAGTTGAAAGGGAGATTCAGCAATGCCGATCTCACCATCCAGTCACTCATCGGAGAGCTATCAATTATCGAATCGGCTTTGACTCACCTAGAGGACTGGGCCAAATTCAACGCCCGTGGACCGACTAAATCTGAGGAGTACATTGAAGGATTGAATGTCGCACTGGATGGCTGCCGAGCGGTTATGGAGGTTCTTTCGGAAGAGGTAGCGTCCCTCGTCCAAAACATAGCAGGACAGGACTCTGTTGTTGGATTCAGAGCTCGCGTCAAAGTGGTTTGGAATGAGGACGTCATGCGAGGTCACCAGGAAAGACTCCATGCGCAGGTGGTGGCCTTGCAATTGCTCCTACAGGCATGCCAATGGTCGGAGCCTTGAGTGCCTGAAATGCACGTTCTATGCTGACATCGCGATAGTCGCTCATCATCCGAGCAAGTCGAGCTGCTCCGGAGAGCGGAAAACCGCCAGATCATCAAAAAAGTCGCGGATGATACGGCCACTCTTCGGGGCTCCAGCTACGCAGGTTCCCACGCACACGGTTCGAGTTGGAGTTTTTACCAGCCATCCGTCAGCAACGCCGCTTCTGATTTGGACCGAGTGCTTGCCCCTTCTCCTTCAATCCGTTATGCAGACCAACACTTCCGTTCAAAATCGGACATAGATGAAGGCTATGCAAGTGCAGCCACTACCAGTCGCAGCTACTCGCAGACGGGTGGCTTCTCGGTGCCGCTTCGCCCCAACGACTCGATCGTTCTGAGGAATGGTCACAGCACGAGCGTCACATTGCAACATGCTCCGCGCCAGTACAGCCAGAGTCAAGTTCGACGATCGCAATCGGATTCAAACCCACCATCAAGTGCTCGTCCTCCGTTGGGGTCCAAGCGCGAGAAGATACGTTCGGTCTTGCGACAATTCAGTCGAAGCAGCCTAACATCAAGCTCTTCAAGGTCGCCTGGTTTAAGCCCTACGGCATCAAGAGTAGCACGACCTGTTGACGAAAAAGATCTCAAGACGAGCATTGACCTCACCACTCCTGAAGGGGCTACAGCTCCTTTGATCGTGAAACTAGCTCAGTCAGGAGGTTTGGCTGACATTGAGATGCTTATAGAAAGTGGGCATGGAGTTGAGACACGGCATCTGAGTACTCGCAGGACAGCACTATTGGTGGCAGCGCACTGTGGTAACGAGGCAGTGGTCAATCTGCTTATTCAGAAGAATGCGAGACTTGATGCTGTGGATGCCTGGGGTTCTACGGCTCTCCATCTAGCAGCTTCACGTGGCCATTTTGACGTCCTTCAGCTGCTTCTTCTGGAGCAATTGGACCCCGAGGCACGAGATGCCCGGGGCAGGACAGCGCTTTGGCTAGCGGCTGGTCGAGGCCAGCTTGAAGCCACCCGCTTGTTGATCGCTCACCATGCCAAGGTAAATGTGCGAGCGGAAAATCATACGACGCCACTGCATGCTGCAGCAAAGCGAGGGGATGAAGCAATTGTAGAGCTTTTAATATCGTGTGGCGCAGATTTAGAAGCAAGAGATGGTGCAATGATGACAGCGTTGCACTATGCATGCGAAGAAGGTCATCTAGGCGTGATGAAACTGCTCCTGGATAACAAAGCAAATATCAACACACTTGGAAGTGATCGGAGGACGCCGCTCATCTGCGCCGCAGCAATGGGGAGATTTCTGGTGGCGCAGGAGCTGCTCAGACGTAAAGCCTCGACTCAATGTGTGGATGATGCTTCCATGACTGCGGTACACTGGGCCGCGTTCAATGGACATACCGAGATTGTGGATCTCCTGAGTCAGAAGAAGGGCGTACTGGCAGCAACCAACAAACTAGGGCGAACAGCACTACACCTTGCGGCCATGAACTCGCGTTTTGCGGTGATAGAGCTGCTTGTGCGCAGGGGTGTACCGGTCGACACACGATGCCAGGACGGTCTGACCCCTCTCCATTACGCCTGTTTGGCGAACAGCCTTGAGATTTCCAGACTACTGCTCATCAGTAACGCGAACATCGAGGCGCAGACAGAGATCGACCAGCGGAGACCCATTCACATCGCAGCCGCTCGTGGATCAATGAATATGCTCAATTTGCTTTGTGACAAGGGAGCCTCACTGGAGGCTAGAGATGCCAAGGGTGACCGGGCTCTCGGAGTCGCTTGTCGCCACGGCCACGCAGCAGCCGTTCAAAACCTCCTTGGTCGAGGTTGCCCCTTGTACTTGGCATATGAAACCAGGCCACAGGAAGATTCCCCACTGTGTCTGGCAGCGATGGGGGGCCATCTCGCCGTAGTATCCCTTCTCCTTCAGCACGGTGCATCCGTCGTGCGGAAAGACGAGTCCGGATGGCAGCCACACCATTACGCTGCGTATCATGGACATCCTGACGTTCTGGCCCTGTTGCTTCAACGTGGGCCTGCATCGGCGAACGATGGGACTAGCTTCGGCCTCGACGCCGCAGGAATCGGCTTCGCTCCTCATGCGATCATCTCGGAGGAGCGGAAGGAGCAAGTCCGGCGGTTGTTGCACCGAGATAGCAGGCAACTCGCCGCGCAGGCCCAGATCTCTGCTTTCCAGCCCCCTCCAGCTGTAGGAGGAACACTCCATGGCACGGCAATAGCCCCTCAGCTATCCTTGACGATTCGGTCTCCAGAGCCCTGCGCTGAGCCCTCGGCCATGGCACCTCAAGAGCTGCCTGTTACCCTCGAGCAAGGACTGCCCCCGAGCCGGTCCGCTACACCAGAGCATATGCGCGGAGGAAGACGCACCAGCATAGGTTTGAAAAGCAGTCCACCACAATCCAGACAGTTTGAGGCAGCTGTACAGTCTTCTTCATCAGGTAGAGCTGCCCGTCAACTTGAGCCCAGTGTTTCTTACACTGGGGCTACTTCGGAGCCTTGGTTCGACTACTCTTTGCCGTACTGGAGGGGCTCTCCAGTTTCTGCTGTTCGTGAAACTGAGACTGAGGTCGAAGTACTCGCACCACAACCAAGTCGGGGGACGACATCAGAGGTACCGGTGCTATCCACATTCGATTCCGTTGACCCTGGCTGTGGGCCAACTAGTACGGTGAACTCGGATTCGGAGTCTTCATCTGTATATACTGCGTGCGAGGGGCAAGTTTCAGGATGAAGGAGGGCTTTACATGTAATGAATGCTTTGTGTTGACGACTATAATACCCATAATGATTATGTTGGTGTTTTGATAGAATAATATCATATAATTTCTGATCTACTGAGATCTCAATCAGGGGAAACCTCCAGCAAGTGGAGCTGCGCCGATTATCCACTTGCCGAGCATTTATCAACAGTACACGATCAACCATTCGCAACCATTTACCATAGAACTTCCTTCTCCATTAATTGCCATTCGAATAATCTCGTCATCCCATTTAAAATGGTTCAATTAGGTCGTTATGTGGTCGAGGATGTAGATTCCTACTATGGACCTGAATACACCTGCACCATCTGCCGGAGCCAGTTTGACTACCTGTCCGAAGTGGCCGAGCACTGTCAATGGGACCACTTCTGGTGTGGGCGATGTGAACGGGTCTTCGTCTCAGAGGCTTCCAAACGCGATCATTTGCGGAACTCGCATCGGCATCATATTTGCCATCTCTGCGAATTCGAAGTGGACTTTCCGTCTCAGCGCGACTTGGAAGACCACCTGGATGAACAGCACTGCTTGTGCGAACCATGCAGAAGATACTTTCCCTCGGCCTACGAGTTGGGCCAGCATGATATACAATGCCACAACTGGTGCAATATCTGCGACCGGTACTTCTCCAACGAGAACAATTACCGCATGGTTCGTCCCCCTTATCCTATGATGCCCTTGCTCGAATGCTACCTACCGTACGTATCCTAACGCCAAACAGCACCAACGCTCGCACGACGCGCGTGACGAAGAATGCTTCGGCTGCTACCGGGCATTCGGATCATTCTCTGCCATGCTGATCCATCTCGAAGCGGGCAATTGCGCAAAGGGCGTGGGGCTTAGTGACATTCACGAGATGGCGTTCGAGTGCTACCAAGCCCAATGATTATTTGCCATACTTTTGCCCTGAGCCTGGGTGTGGGCGCGAATTCCGATTCCCGTCGGCTCTCTATCAGCACGTGGAGACGAGTCCGAGCTGCGATCATCTGTTGCAAATGCCGAAGTGTTTGGCGAAGTTGAGGCGCTTCATCTCGCAGCGGGTATAGTCCGCCAACTGGTAAAGACGACGGCAGCCCGCGACATACATTTATCGCATCACATCGAAGCATCGATTAGCGTTGCATAGACACAGACGTGCAGAGCTATATGATCCTTTGGAAGTCTATGATTGATAGTACACAGCCACAACAGACGGTACATGACTTGACGCGAGTCATTCTGATCATTCTGGGCACTCCGGCGCTTATTCAAGTACCTTTTGCTGGGCATATTGATATTGAGGCTGTTCTCAATGATGCAGCGTCGAGAAAGCTGTACAGATTCCATCCGTACAGTGAAACTAACAAAACATGATATGAAAATTTAAGCAACACATTTCATCCGGTATCTACTTGCTGATAATTATCTGCTTGTATCGTTGAAAAGCAACGCTTCGATGGTCGGATGGCGTCCGCTTGGGTCAACAGACTAAACACCTCGTATTCTAGTGCCGGGCTATCAGCCTTCTCACAGTCCTCACCCCTTTTCCATGCACTTGGCATCATTGTCATTCGAGACCCGTGCTCGATCTGAAGAGAATCGATGGATGAGATCTCGTTCCCGACCAGATGTTGTGCATGGCTAAGTCTCCCTCCATCAATTTCAATGAAACTGCTAGGGGGCTTAAATTTATATAAGAGATGGCAACACTCTCTTGAACATGCGCAAACGGGAATGTCCCCAGAACGCAAGCGGTAGGGAAAATGGCCTCAGTGTCATCGTCTCCAGAAGCTCCCCAGCAGAGCAGCATATCTACCTACCATCTCTACCCAGAAAATGAGCACAGCATCCTGATCTCACCGCACCAACTTCCTATCAAACCGAGGAAACGACGCAAGTTCCTCAAGGAAAATCCCGAAGTCGCGACAGATCCAAATGGCTTCTTCGTCCACAAGCCCTACATCTCGTTCCACCGACCCCCGCGGACCCTGCGACGAGGCAGTAGCAAGCAGGGACCCCCCATCTGTCTCATCCACAACTCCGTCTTCTGGAAACGCTGGAATCTCCAGTTCGGGGAAGACATGGTCGCAGCGATTGACCCAAGAGGCGCAGTGAGCTGGAGCCGACGAAGCAACCCTGACAACCGCATCGACGACGGCGACGACCTCGCATTGAAGGGCTACAAAGTGCGCACGTGGCGACTCTGGCGCGAAACGGGCAAGCAGTACCATCGAGACGTGAACGCAAAGCGGATACAGAAGAAAGGGAACACCAGTAAAGAAGATGCGCAGCAGGCAGTCGGTCATTCCGACAATGATCCCGATCCGGATGCGGGTCATCGACCTGCGCGTGCCGACGATGCCATAGCGCTGTGTTGGATCGCGCCACTATCCACGCACACCCGTCGTTATCAGTGGAAGTACGCTGGGGTTGACCTCGTCTGGAAGGGCACGAGGAGTCTCTCCGCAGAGCACAAGTGGTCGAAGCGCTGCTTGCCATGGCACCATCTCAAGCTGACTGCTCGGTACCACCTTCTTCTGGCGATGATAGCACTGATCAAAGCCAAGGAGAAGCGGTTCTCGCTCAGTATTGCAGCAGCATCGCGAAGGAAAAGTATGGCGTCCTGGTCATCTACGAGGCAGAGGTATCCAGGGTTTTTGGACCGCACACGCCAAATGCAAATGTAGGAGGCAATCATGACAGCTCCCTCATCAGAGCCCATGATGCCGTTATGGCGACTGCAGTTTGTATGGTTGTCGGGGAGAAGCAGAGACGGAATGTTGTATATGCGATCTTCAAAGCAATCAGAAAGGCCGGCGAGGACGGGGGAGGTTAGTTAGCTTCATCAATTATTCATTGATCACATTTGCATGTCGAAGATAGAATGAACATCAGTTCCAGATCATCCTCCTCCATCTGAAAAACAAATATTGTTAACAGCACTGCCCTAACACCAGGACGAGATCCCACCAAATACCCTATAGGAAACCAGCCATTTTCCCCGTCGATCCAAGTATGACTCAACGATAAGCAGCAGTTACGAATTTCTTCACCACTCGAGCTGAAGAACGCCCTGTCATCTGCCCTGAAGCCGTAAATGAGTATTCCAGTCTCGCTGATTAACCTACCAGCGACCCGGAACTCAATTCTGTGGATTTGTAAGGCGGACGTCCCGCGATGTCCACGCAGCTAAGCCGTGATGATGAATCTCGCACCCACAGCCAGGACAGAAGTCACGCACAGAACGATCGGGAATGTGCGAGAATGAGCTCGAATCAGAGTACATACGTACAAGACTTTGTTGCAAAAATAGACCAACTTTCAAAAGATTGGAAAGCAGAATGTTAGTCATTTTCCTCGCGGTTGCTCATTCTTGCCGGCTTGCCCCGTGGGTGCCTGGCCGGTTTGTGTCATGAGGCAGACATATATTCAATACAAGAGAGTATAAATAGTAGGCATCTTCATATTGTAGTCTCTTCAGATAGATTCCATTCATTTCAGACTGCATAACATCTACGATCTCGCAATCATCTTGACTTGGTCAGTCCTGCCAGTCTTGCGTACATTTCATTACTGGTAGCTACCCGATACGCCCTTGGACTCGAGTATCGAACTCGAAACGACACAAGAATTGGACCTCAGACCGGTCCTCTGCTCTGCTCTCCTCTTCACATCACAAACGTCAATGGGAAGAGGTGGATACAACGCTCCCGCCAAATCCACGAAGCCCTCCCATCCGGTAACCTGCCACGCCTGCACTGACGTCCTGCTCGACTTGCCATCTATGCAAGGCCGTGGCGGATATAACGACGTGCACAGCGACGACGACTAAATATTGCTCGAGAGTAGAATCTGTCGGCATATATTGACCAGATTGAGCTTGTTGCTCGCCTGATCATGATGAGTTGGTACAAACAGGGGTGCCTGGGATATGGGCCGTGGGATGGGAATGCCCCATTTTGGGAGGAAGCGATGCAACGATGTAGATGCATAAGATCGCCAGGTCGACGAGTATACATGCAATCTCACTTTCCAACGCAGAACCTAAAACAAGCCCCGACGTTAGCCACAAAGCGACATCATCATAATCGCACACGGAAACCTACTTTTCGAATACGACGCCCAAGACATCCTCCACGTCCCCGCTCTCACCTTTGCCGGTGATCTTCGCAAGAGTGTCGGCGGCAAATCGTAGATGCTCAGCCGCCATCACGACATCAACTTCAGTCTCAATATTTTGATCATGGGCATAGCCGGGAGTTTGGGGCGTTTGGGCTTGGGTTGTCTGGTTCAGGAAATCATCCAAGTGTTGCATGCATCTCTGTAGATTAGAGCTTTGTCGATGGGTCACTCCCAAGGAATCTTCCCAATACGAAATATCATATTGTCCATTCTCATCCCCTTGCATTCCCGCCGGGGATGCAATTTCTTCAAAAGTGGAAATCAAGCCCTGTAGGAATCCTTGCATGTTCCCCGGATCTGATTGCTCGGGTAGATTCCCTTCCGAGGCCTCGTGGCAGGATATGTCGAATATGCGTTTCTCCGGAACGGCTGGAAACAGTGTCCGTATTTTCACCTTCAGTTCATGCAGTGACTGGCCGGACCGATCTGCTGCAGGCAGTCGATCACATTTGTTGATGGCCACAACAATGCACTTCGCAGCTTGTACACAATCATTAACCGCATCAATCACCTCCCGCTCCACGGATAGTCGGTAAGGCGAGCCACTGGTCCCTTCCTCCAGGGAGACGACCAACACAACCACATCCGATTCCAGAGCCCTGGCTCTGGCGCGCCGGATACCCTCCTTCTCAACTGCTCCGATGGCCACAGTTCCCTGACCGGTGGAATCGCTATTCTCGGACCGGATCCCAGCCATATCGCCAAGCTTGCAGTACCAGCCGCCGAGATCAACCCCAACATCCACAATGTCCCGAGTAGTCCCCTCCTCGGTACTGACAATAGCGGCTTCCTTGCCCACAATCCGATTCAAGAGTGAGCTCTTGCCTGCGTTAGGAGCCCCAAGCAAGGCAATCTTGATCCCATTGCGCAGGAGTTCTCCCCTCGACGCGTTTTCGATATGCAATTTCAGCTGAGTCTGCAGCGCGCGGACCTGTCCTGCGACAGAGCGAACAAACTCCTCAGGCGACTCGTCGAAATACTGGTCCTCAGAGAAATCAATCAACGCCTCCAGCTCCCCGCGCGCATAGAGTAACTGCTGGCGCCACAATTCATATCGTTTCGAAAGAGCATCACTGGCGCCCCGAACAGCAAGGCGCCGCTGCTGTTCTGTATCAGCGGTGAGCGTATCGCCCAGTGCTTCGATTTGCGGCAGATCGAGCCGGTTGTTCATAAACGCTCGGCGAGTGAATTCGCCCGGTTCTGCATAGCGGACCAGACTCTCCGGCCGATTGGTGCGGGCGATCGACGCCAGCACCGACTTTACGATAGCCGGGCCGCCGTGAAGATGCAGTTCGAGGACGTCCTCGCCTGTGACGGTTTTGGGTCCAGGGAAATACAGGACAAGAGCCCCCGCATCGAGAACTGTGTTGGCGGACGGCTCTTGTGTAGGATCGTAGAGGGTGCGTACTGCAGCAACACGCGCGCGAGGAAGAGGTGCACTGGGACAAAGGGCCCGATAGATCTATTCAGAAGGCCGAAGAGTAGGTGTCAGCTGCGCTTCGGGAATAATTGTCAACATTAACATACCTGCACACATGCGGGACCAGAGACTCGTACAACCGCAATCGCTGCTCTACCGGGGGCAGTAGAGAGTGCATATATCGTTGAATCGGCCTCCAAGGAAAATCGAAAGCTCGAAGATGCAGAGAAGTGTCGGCAAGCGCTGGGTGATCTCCGCTGGACTGGCCGTGCTAGATCAAGAGCGGTTCCATGACTTGGTTTCGCTACGCAAGAACATCGGCTCCATGACGGGCGAAAGGTGAAAGCCCGTCGTAGACTCCAAAAAGCGAATGCTCGCATGCGCAGGCAATTAAGGGGAAAGCTATGTTGCAAGGAGCGAAGGCGGAGAACCAATGCTGATACTCATATTTTATCCATCATGGAGTGATACTCTGTCACGTGATTCCATACATTTTCTTGGGTTGGAAATAGTGACTACCATTTATTTACAGCGTCTGCGTGTTAGACAGGCCATCCTCTTAATGTCCTATGAAAGAGCCTTGAGCATATAGCCAGCCTACTTGCCGAGTAGTTCCGGCTTTAGGAACCTTGCTTGAAGTGAATGGCACCATTGATCTATTGACCTTAAAGCAACAAACCACGCGCTGGTCAATGCGAAAACCTTCCAGGGGGCCAACATATGCATGGGGGATATTCAAGGGCACGACACTTGCGTCACTTCGTCACGCCTGCGCGCCGAAAGACGCCGAGCCATACGCCAGACAACCGACGCTTCAAGATCCACCGCCAAAGAGATACAACAAGGGCAAGTGGTCGTGCCAGGGCAGGAAAAGCACGAACTGCCGAAGTAACACGCACAAAGACAGTCAACAACGGAAGGAAATTATGTACAGAAATAGAATCAAGAAGAGAAGTCGGGATAGATATGCAGAGAAGAGAACAAAGAGTAAGAGATGCCGAAATATGGATGACGGGTAGGTGGGACGATGTACTGTCGAAAGATGAATTCAAAGCAAATCACAATGAATGTATGCTCGGGAACAAAAGTAGAAGACGAAGGAAAGAGATGGCCGTGCTGCCACTGTTGACTGGAAAAGAAAGAAGAGGGCTGCAGTGATCAAAAAGCAGGAAAAGAAGAAGAGGAAAAAGGTGAAGACAAGTAACAGTGGGGAATATTATACACTGAGAGACATAGGGAAATGTTTCCGAGACGACATCAGTTAGTCTATCAATCAAACATTATATTATGAGAGTTCGGGGAATTTTGAATGGGCAAAAAAGGGCGAGGACACAGCAATCATGGGTTATAGATCAACCCGACTGCTCTGTAGGCTAATTCGGTGGCGAGCCATCGTGGGAAGATTCGTCACCAGGTGATCTATCATGCATATCCGCGTTCGGCGAAACGACAATAGAGGGAGTTTGAGGAGGCTGTGAAGCCCCGTCCTCCTCGTTCGAAGGGCTGACCATGCCGGGTTCATTCGGTGCTGAGGCTTCGGTATTGGGCGGTGGTGTCGTGGGCTCTGGGACGGTCGACAAAATCGAACCGTCAGCGCTGTCTTTGCTAGCATTTCCTCCATTCCTCCTTCTCAGTCTGCGTTTCCGACGCTCCTCCTCGGCGCTCTCTCTTCTCCGTCGAGCACGTTCTCCATTGTTATCCATATTATCCCTGAGACCTTGCAGCATGCTTGCAGCGCGGTCTGCAACGTCTTCGCTCTCCGAGATCTGCAGCTCTTTCGCATGAGTGTCTACGTCGGTCTCTTGACTTGGCGGGCTCAGCAGGCCGGTCTCTGTGGCGCTAGCGTCATTATTGCTGCTCACGAGAGTGGCACTGTTACTGTCCGCCTGCTTTTCACCATTTTCGGGCTCAGATGCAGTGACGTCCGGCATCTTCTGACCTGAAGCAATGCGAACCTGGTGACGTTCCTTCAACCTGGCGCGCCGACGACGATCACGTTGATCTCTAGCTTGAGGAGCTGCAGCACGTAGTTTCTCCAGAAGAGAGTCCATGGCACCGCTCGTAGCAGGAGACTGCGGTGCATCGCCTGCACCAGAACTGTTGGCGAGGCCGGCATTGACACGTTTGCGGGCCAGAGAAGCCTCTGTACGCTTCCTGGCTTCTTCGAGTGTGATGTTCTTCTCTTTCGATTTCTAGGAATTGATTAGCCATGATTGTTGTCGTCACAATGAACGGTCATATAGGAGGCGACACAGGAAGAAACTTACCCTCCACTCCAGCAAGAACGAAGCCAGCTTTGCGAAGAAGTCCCGTCGAGCTCCTTCATCTGTATTATCTTCTCCGTAAAAGACCATGATGTCGTCGTACGTCTTGACCATCTCCTCCAAATAAAGCTGCATTTGCTCCGCCTTTCTTCTGGCATCTTTCATACTTCGCTGTACGACTTGGCTCACGCGGTCCTGTGGATGGAACTTCTTGGGATCGCTCAAATTGCCGGCATCCAGGCTTGCCTGCACATTCTTGATATTGTCAACGTACTTCTTGGCATCTGCCCGCAACTGGTCGACGTTGAGTTTCTGGAGTCCGATGACGCCGCCAATCTCCTCGACAAAACCTTCCCATTCGGGGTATTGATTGCGGACAATACGCTCAACGAGGTCTGCAAATGTCGTCTCATTCTTATCATCCTTGACCATGCCAAGGCGAGCGAGCGAGCTCAACTTGAAACCTTGAGCCTGCTTGTTGGCGTCGTTCATGAAGTTACCGATATCCAGGATCAGCCCAAGAACATTCATCAAGGAGACTGAGTCTCTCAGGGTCTCGCTGACCCTCACGACCTCGCGGAGTTTGGCCGAGAGATGCTCATAGTCCGGCTCAAAGGAGCGTGTCAGTGCAAGGGCCCGCATTCTCGCCTTCCAGTAATGATTTAACTCAAAAGCAGTGTAAAGGTAAATCTGGTCCTCCCGCGTGAGCTCGTTTGGATCTTGCTCTCGCTCGGAACTAGCAGCATCGGGCCCTGTCCAGTCCTTGCTGTAAGGTGCCATTAGCTTGGAGACATTCTCGGGTATCGTGCACATCTCCTCTCTCTGCAAAAAGTCCATGACCACCATATTGTCCAGAATCTCCGGATCGCAATGGATGATCATACGGACGACATCATCGGCAGGAAACTGAGAGAACTTGGCCAATGCAATCTGGAACGTCTTCGACAAGTCGTTTGAGATGATCTGTTTCTTGTCCTTGCGCTGCTTAGTGCCGGAGCCGGCCCCAAAAATCTTGGTCTCCTTCGCCATGAATAACCTTTCGACTTCGTCCAAGACGCCCTTCTTCGCCAACTCGCTGTACTTCTCTTCCTTCGCTTGAGGAGTGGGATCGCGAATAGCCCACACTGTTACCTGTGGAGCATCGACCTTGTCCCAATGAAGAGCCTTAAGTTTCTTCTTAGGTCTAATAGACGACAAGACGGCAGTTGGATGAGAAGGTGCTGATTGCGAAGCCATGTAGTTGGCTCGCCAGCCTCCGCCAACACCAGGCGGCGGAGGTGGTGGAGGGGCTCCGAACCGACCTGGGGGAGGT